GGCAGGGATCAGTGCTGGGGGCTTGGGGGGCTGCCTGGGGAAGGACAGGCCTCACCAAGGAGAAACACCTCAGCCAAAGCCTCAGAGGGAAGGGCCAGCGAGGTCAACCGTGCCCACCCACCTTCCCCGGGAGGAACCTCACGACAACGCCTTAGTCCTGTCTTCCCTGCATTTCCCATCTGTTCAGGTGATTACGGGGTCATCCCGAGGCCCCCATGGACTGAGATCTCCGGGCGTGTGCTTGGTTTTGCTCCCCACGCTGGCACCGAGCAGGGCCCTCCGCTAGTGTGGGCAGAATGACCGGTTCCTGCCCTGAGCTAGGACGCTGAGCTCTGTGGGGCAGCTCCGGCGGCAGGAGGTCCTCCGCACCCTGGCCCGGCAGTCACCGAGGTGGCGCTTTCCAGGGGCGGCTTTGCCGGCAGCCACTGAGCACCCCTGGGAGGCAGGGACTGGGTCTCCCTCCCCGAGGGCCCCCGCCGTCCCGGCCCGTGGGCTGGATTCCTCTACAACGCTGGCCTCTGCAGGCCTGGAAATGGCTTCTGTCTGCTGAGCGGAATTTTCCGGCCCCCAGCAGAAAAGCCAAGTGGCTGGCTCCCTGCTAATTTCATTTTCCTAACTCACCAGCTTGGCAAGGCCTCGCCTCCTCCCTCGCGCTGCTGTCTCTCGGTGCCTCGTGCCCAGCTCCCCTCGCCAAAGAAAGAAAGCTGTGACTCACCAGAAATTTTCATTGCTATTTTCTGGCCATAAAAGTAGGAAACATACATGCAGATGTGAAAGTTCTCACATTATGCCTGAGCGCAGCAGTTTTCCTGCTGCGAAGACACTGTCACACAAGATGGAAGCAGCAGAAAGGCCGCTCCCGACGTGCCTGGAGCCGAGGCCCCGGCTGCTGCGGCAGCATACTGGTCTGGGTGGAGGGCTGGGCTCAGGTCAAAGGGCCCCCGCTCTCAGGAGGGACAAGCGACCCCTGAAAAGGGAAGGCAGGACTAAGGGGTCACCAGTGGGGGCTCCTCCTGGGAAAGGTGGGTGGGCGCAGTTGTCCTGGGGTGCCATGTGGGGTCTCAGTGCTTCCTCCTGCAGTCCTGGCGCGGTCCAGAGGGCAGGCAGCTCCCCCTGCTCCCCTGCTCCCCTGGCTTCCTGGGCTCCAGCCACACCAGCCTCACCATTCCTTCAAGGCAATAAGCTCTGGCCCCTCTGCCCGGGGCCCTCTCCCATGACCCTCCTCCCCCCCAACCCCAGCTCCTTCCAACTCTTCCTTTGGAACCACCCCAAGGTCCCTTCCTCGGGAACACTCTGCAGCCCTCCAAATCCAGGGCTCCTTGTTTGGGGGTCTCGGGGTCCCTTGCTCTCTTTGAGCACCTTCTGCAGCTGTAACGCACACGCACGGCAGGACGCCCTGAGGATGTCTCTTCCCCGCCCCTCCCCCCGACTGCCAGCTCCGTGGAGGCAGGGACCGTCTGGGGTGTTCAAAGGGACATCCTTTGGGGTAACTTTCTCCTCCTTGCCTCCCCCATGTGTCCCGCTTGCGAGGCTTTGCCTCCTGGCCCTCAGCTCCTGCCAGGAAAGCTCTGTCCTCTCTGCCCTTCCCCTGCGGGTCTGCCGGAGGGGGCCTGATGAGCGGCCCCCACGCGTTCCCAGCACTTCCGCTGCCTCGCAAGAGCGTTTGTCTCTTTCCTCCCCCTGAACTCACCTCTGGCTGTGCCTTCCATCAATTTTGCACATTCAATTCCCTGATGATGTTCAATTCTTCATCCCAAGCTGAGCTAAACCCCTGAAGTCATTTCGGTAACAGCTCAATTAGCTCATTTCTCCTTTACGCGAATCTTGCCATTCCATCCCCACCTAGAAAACAGTGAAAGATGGGATGTGAGAAGTATTTTCCACCCAAACCTCCTCCTCCTCTGCAGCGCTTGTCTTAGCGCGTGTCGCCAACCCCCTCCCCGTTGCCTGAGCGCCACACCTCCGAGTCACCGTCCATCCTCTCTCCCCCCCTGCTTCCAGGAAGCTGCCATTCTCATCTGCTGTCCTGGGGAGGACTCTCTCAGCTCTAGCCTCCTCTGGCCACCGGCCAGGCCCTCCTCATCTCTCTCCTCCTGGACTAAGGTCACCCGCTGATTGGCCCTCCTGCCTCCAGCCCCAGGCCTCTACCCATCCATCCACCCACCCACCTACCCACCCATCCATCCTTATCCACCCATGCGTCCATCAACCTCCCCACACGCCCACCCTCCAGTCTGCCCTCAGTGATGTTTTAATGGCGCACACTGGTAAGATCATAGCTGCTTAGATAACTTCTGTGACTCCCCACTGCCCAGAGCAGGCATTCTTAACATTAGAATCTTCAAGAGACTATTGCGACAATACCAGAACCAGGGCTCTCCCCTGAGAGAGTCTACCTTAATTGGTCTTGGCTGGGGCCTTGGCCTGGTGTTTTTTAAAAGCTCACACAGGTGAACTGCCGCAGACCAGCACAGCAGTGAACGATGAGGCCGTCTCAGGGTTGAGAGACTGCGCAGGGTGGTCAGGGATTCGGTTAAAGAAATGACAAACAGACACACTTCAAGAGAAAGTGTAAATCTGAGTGTAATTTAATTTGAGTTGGTGACCAGTATATATATGTTTTCTAAAAGCAAACATCAGTGAAGAAATCAACTTGCTCATAGGTTTAGCTTATCATTGACAGGGCCGTGATTTACATCTGGACCCAGGCGCATTCCTAAGTAGTTAGGCTATTAATTTTTCTTTTTATTTTATGTGATTACTTTTTGTTTAAACTACTCACTACCACTAAATTACTATTAATTAGCACGGGTGAATTTTACTTTTCACAATGTAATATTTGTATCATTAAGATTAATGCTAACAAGGCTAAGCATACAACAGAGAAATTATTAAGCTAACAGTTCTATTAATACACAGAGTTTAGTAACATTTCATTTGAATCAGCCTAGTTATTAGATTTCGTATGTTCTTTTTTAATCGGCAAACCAATGACCTTTTTAGACAGAGAAAGAGAAAAGATTTTAGAAAGAGGAAAGATTTTAGAGAGACAGTTGTATTAGAATAAAGTCTGTGGGCCTTGAGAAGGCGAGATGAGTTTCCGTGCGGTCAGCATTCCTGTAGTGGCTCCTGGGGGTCGTTATCATTCAACAGGCTTCCGTCTTATCTATGTCTTCAGGGAGTTTGCTGTTCTCCCCCTGCGCGCTGGTTCCTTGCCCAGCCGGACCTAGGGATTCCTAGAGGTCACTGCAGGGGGAGGTGCAGCAGTGAACGTACAACCCAGGTTGAGAACCGTGTGACCTTGAGGATAAAGTCCCAACTCATTAGCGTGGAACTCAGGGGCCCCCCCAGCCAAGACATTAACCTGTCACCCCAGACTCATGTCCTGCCAACCAGCCCCTAAGACATTTGAGAGTCTGCTTCCACTGGGCTACTTCTCTGTCTTGTACCTACAGTTGCCTCAACCTGCAGTTCCCGGTCTCTGCCCCTCCTCCCGTTCTTCAAGACCCAGCACAAACCTGTGCGTGTGTCTGAGTGTGTGTGTGAAGGTGCCTGCTGGGACATCTTAGCCTGGGAGCACAGGGCCTCCGTAGCACGGGGCACGCAGAGAGGGTACCTCCACCGTGGCAGGCAAGACCATGGCGCCCTCCCGGTTCTCTGCCCAGCAGCCTGCAGCTCTCACTGACATCCATTCTGCTGCCCTGGCTGTCGACTCTGGGCCCCGCCAAGGCAGGTCTGAGTCACGGCCCCCCGTACCCCACCTGGCGTAAGTGCCGAGGGGTCTGGGCTGCGAGGGCCGGCTCTCCCCGAGTCTCTGGTAAAGGAGCAGGCAGTCCCCTCGGGCTGCTTCTCCGCCCGCAGTTCAGACCACCCTCCAGGCCCTTCCTCCGCGAGACCAGATTCCCTTCTCCCAAATCCCTGCGACCGAGAAGAATGTTCAGCTTGTTTGGTGGCAGGAAAAATGCCCGTTGGTCAAGTGGTCCTTCCTCCCCTGTGCTCCCCAAGTGGAGGAGCTGGGGGGCGGCTGCCCAGAGCCCTCGGGGCTGTTCCCCAGCACTTGCACTTGCTTTGGAGGATGACCAGGCCAGGGAGTCTTGTGAGAGCTGGAGCCCGTGTGACCAGGGCCAGAACCCGCAGGTGTCCACCCTCTCAGCCCGACCTCTCCCCACACCCTGCCTCTCACGCCTCCTTCCCGGCCTGGAGAGGGAGGAAGGCGAGCAGGGTCCGAGGGCGAGAGCTCAGCCCAGACACCTGCTGGCAATGTGGGTTTTGCCATGTGAGGACTTTGGCTTCTAGTTGCCCTTCCTGCCTCTTCCCGGAGACCAGGCACACCCAGGGCTGGTAAAGCATAGACGAGAGGTGCTCCCCAACTTCGTTTTTGGGAGCGCCCCGTTTCCCAAGCCCAGGAAACAGCAGTACAGAGAGTGGTGGTTCTCAGCCCTCAGCGAGAATTGGTCAGAGCTGATTCGGCAGGTCTCGCGGGCCTGAGAAACTGTCTAACCAGGCCCCGGCCAGGCCGCGGCTGCTCGTCCGGGGGCCGGCTTGGAGAGGCCGGAGGCTGCGAGGTAGCCGTCAGCGGTGCCGGTGGGGCCGTGGCTGTGCTTTATGGACTTGACTCAAAGCTGCTCCCCTTAAGCCCCCAGAACTGGGCTTCCTCCTGGGCCCTCTGCACCCCCAGCGCCATCAGGGGCCAAGGCAATGGTTTCCAGGAGGCTGAGAGAGAGAGACTGACCCTGGGAGTGGACAGAGAAGTTAGAGCTGGAGGGACCCCGGGGTTGGGAAGGCAAAGATGGGGGGAGAGAAGGTGGTCGATTTGCATCCACCACTGGGAGGGCAGGCCAGGCCGCCCCGGCTTGGGAAGAGGCTTCAGCTCTGCCGGCCCCTTTTTCCCGGCTGTCAATGTGCTGGAATAAAACTGACTGTGGAGGGACCCGCGGGGTTCCCAGAGCCGCCGTGGCTGTCGTTCCCGTGAAGTCAACCTGAGCTCTTTGTGTCCGCAGGAAGGACCAGTACCTGCTGTCGCCCGTGAACTGTTGGTACCTGGTCCTGCATCAGACCAGGCGGGAGAGCCGAGACCACGCCACCCTCAACGACATCTTCATGAACAATGTCATCGTCCGCCTCTCCCAGATCAGCGAGGACGTCATCCGGCTCTTCAAAAAGGTGGGCGAGCCGGGCTGACTCACACGCCTGGGCCCAGCACGCCCCCCACCCCACCCCCCAGCTGTGGACCGGGCTGCTAGGGCGGGTGGGGATCACGGGACCAGCAGGGCAGACGTGTGAGGGGCCGGGCACCGCACACTTGGGGTGCACAGACAGAGACGGAAAGCGCCTCAGCTGTCACTACGCGGCCATGAACCCTGGGTGTCCCGGGACAGGCGTGTGCGTGGGCTTGTCTGAGGGCTCACACTCCCACATTTTCTCGTATGTACATATGCGCTTGCCAAGGGGGGTCCAGCTGCACGCGAGGCGACACTGCCTGCTGATGGCACTTAGCAAATTACCCTAACTCTCCGCCACCAAATGTCCCCATGCCCGCGTGCTTCTGTAACATTTGGAGTGATGCCATAGTAGTTCAAGATGTAGATGCATCCTAATTTGTGCGGCCATCCTCTTACCGTTGGACACTGACGGCTGTTTCCACACTATCGTGGCGCGTTCTGCCGTGAGCTGCTTGTTTACACACCTTGCCACAATCACTGCTGTTAGCACCCCAACAATGGCTACAGCTGAGCTCCTGGCGGCCTTGTTACCAGGCCTGTGCCCGGGAACAAAGGAAAGCCGGGTCCTTGTGGGCCTGGGGGAGCCGAGGTGGGGCCTGGTCCTCTGTATGGCGTCAGTGACAGATATCAGTCTCTGCAGTGACAATTCTGGGGTCAAAAGTTTCCTTATTTTTAAGGGCTTTAACAGAGCGCTCAGCTGTTCTCAGGAAGGTCTCCCCGTTCTGCTCCCGGGAGCCCAGTGAGCAGGGAGCAGTTCCCATGGCTGCTGAGTCCCTGTACCCAAGCCCCCTGCTCAGAGCCTGGCGAACACTCGTGCTGCCTTGGTGTTTCTAGAACCGAATTCGCTTCTGTGAACTTCCGTTTCCTTGTCCATAAAATAGGCCAGTCATTTAACTAGAGTGAGCCACATCCTCTTTGGCTATCAAATGGGGTTAAACATCAACCACACCCCAGGGGCAGTGTGAGGATTGTATGAAGCATGTGTGCGTGTGCCCTGTCTGCCCTGCCTGCCTGCCTGCCTGTGTGGGAGGGCGCATCCCTGAGAGGTGACTCAGGGTGAGGTCTTCAGGTCTAGAATTCCTGAGTTCCTTGGTTCATAATCCTGGTTCCATCACTTATTTGCTGTGTGTCCTTGGGCTTCTTACTTGAACTCTCTGTGCCTCAGTTTCCTCATTTGTGAAATGGTGATAGATGTCACTTTGTAAATGTCAGGAAAGCTAGTCAGCATCACGTGGCTGTAAGCGACTGTACCACAGATATAACCTAGGATAACAGGAATATCAGAGGCGATTGCTACTAAGATAACCGGGAGCTATACAGACATAAGAGACTATTGCTACTAAAATAGTCCAGCTCATCATTCTCACCAGATGCCAATTTTAGAATGAGGTGGCCTGGGATTGCTAGAAGAGCAGGAAGAGGACAAGTTGATTTAAAATCTAATCATCTCTCCCCAGTCTGTATTTGGATTGTCCACTTGGAGGAAGACCTCCAGAGCAAAATTGCAATCATGGGCTAATTCCCTCGTGCCCTGTGGCAGGCCCTGGGCTCCTCGTGGGGCTGTGTTTATGAAATGTGGCCTAAGCTCAATATTTGCATGAGCAAACACAATCAGGAAGGTAAATACAGCACAATAAAGAAATATCACACCGTGCTTTGCAAAGCCACCCTGAAGTGACTCAGGTCACTTGGTTCTATCACAGGCCCCCGCTGGTGGCCGCTGGCACGTCTTTTTCCCTGGGTGGGGGGGACTTGGAGAGAGAGGGTCACTGGGGCCTGGAGGAAACCAAGGGTCTTTTCCCTGAGCTGAGCCCTGGGACAAGTGAGATAAATCTTTTCAGGTCTCATTTAGGCTGACAGCAGCCTCACTAGTGATGGAAGTTATCGGGGTGGAAAATAATGAAACAACGTCTACAGCTGAGCTCCTGGCAGCCTTGTTACCAGGCCTGTGCCTGGGAACAAAGGAAAGCCAGGTCCTTGTGGGCCTGGGGGAGCCAAGGTGGGGCCTGGCCCTTTGTGTGGCGTCAGTGACAGATATCAGGGTACCGAGGCCTCACTCCTTCCCACTAGTGCTGCCTGCAGACCTTTGAACACTGGGGAGCCAGTGTCTGGTCAGCCTGGGGCACTGATGGCCCCTCACCCCGTCTTACGGATGAGGAGACGCCTGGGAAGCTGCAGGCAGAGCCAGACTGCTGCCCCCGTCGTCACCAGCAGGAGGCAGTGTGTCTCCGCCTTGGCCTGCAGCTCATGACTGCCTCCTGGGCCAGGCTCTGTGAGCCTCAGTTTTCTCATCTTTGAAACCTGGGGGCTGCTGTGGAGGGTGGTGTCCAGGCAAAGTGTCCAGCTCAGGCCTGGCATCCAGTAGGTGCTTATTATATGGGTGCTCACTCGTGACCCCAAAGAACCCCCTTTCTAAGCAGGACCCAGCTATTGGGATGGGTGTGCCTTCTCCCCACTCCAGGTCACATGCTGGCACCGAATCTTCAGGAGGGAGTGACTTCCAGGCAGGTGCCTTGCAGGCTGGGCCTGAGCAGCTGCCCAGCCTGCCGGCTTCTCTCCAGCCAGGGAGCTGTTTCACTTAATCGCTCACCGTTCCACGATTCTCGGGTCCCCTTGGGCAGTGCAGTATGTTCTGATGACTAGGCAGGCCTCAGATCCACATGCTATCCAGGACTTGTCGGGGTGGATGGAGCACGTGGGCCGCCAGCCCTTGTCTAGGTGTGAGAGGCGCATGCACCGTAGCCCGGTGGACCTGGGCTGACCTCAGAGGCTGGACCTCAGAGGCTGACGTAGGGTCAGGACACTTCCAGATGCAACAGCAGAAACCAAGCTCAGCTGACTTGAAGGAAGAAAGGGAACCGACCAGCTCTCCAGTCGACCAGCTTCAGGCAGGGGGCATCAGAGCACAGAAGGTGTTGCCAGCACTCAGACTCTGCAGGTCTGCTCCAGTTTCCTCCTCTTTCCAGTTGCTAGGGGGACGGGCTCTTCCCCAGTCAGTTTCCTGCTGGTTGGGCGACCCAGGCTTTCACACTACCTGCCTCAAGTCCAGAGGAATGCGAGCACCCTGTTTTCTGGACTGGGGTCACATGGGCATTTGACGGGCCCAGCACGGGTCAGGAGAGCACTCTGGAAGCTGTGCCTGTGGCAGTGAGAAACAGTGTGGGCTGACCAGGCCTGGGAAACACACCCAAGGCCAGATGTCCCCCTTTAGGGGGACCTACCCCACTTGAGGTGTAGGGTGGAAAATGGCGAAGGTGGTTCTCCAGGAAAAACGGGGTGCTCTCACCAGAAGGGCAGAGGAGCCGTTTGATCCCACTAGGCCTGCCCTTCCAGGCCTTCCCCACTCTCTGTCGACGTTGTCCTCCCTCTGCTGGAGCTTTCTCGTGAAGGCCCTGGCTGCCTCTTGGGCAGCTTGTTCCTTTTGGGGACAAGCGTGATCAACAGAAATTTTGCCCCAGTGCTGAGATGAAACCTGACACAGTCCTGCTCTGTCCATCAGTCAAGCCCACGTGGAAACGTGTCAGGTACTGGGGACAGAAGCCACCACCACCCACCCAGGTCCCTCCGGCCTCTGGTAACACTCCTGGCTCTCCAGTTGTCCCCCGTGACTCAGGTGTCCCCCTGTGACTTGCTTTGTGTTTTGCCCCGTCTGGTCACACCACAGGTCTCCTCTGACCTGCCCTAAGTCCTCCTTCACGTCCTCCTTTGGTCCTTGGAAACTGCGACTTTTAAGTAAAACAACCTGTAGCCAAAGCAGGTCCTTGGTGAACATTTCAGTCCACATGAGCAGGGATTGTTCTGCGCTGTGGGCTGATGGCCCCCACCCCATAGGCTCAGTGGATGAGAATGAGGCTTGAGGGTCTGCCTTTCTGACAAGTGCTCAGGCTGTGCTGCTGCTGGTCTGGGGACCGCACAGTCAGGGACCCATCTGGTCCAGCCTTCCAGGTTTCCAGGGGTGGAAACCGAGACCCCACTGGTAAGCGCAGAGGCTGGCCCCCAGGGCGGGTTTTCAGGCCCAGCTCCGGTCCTGAATCCTCCACCCCTGTTGCGCGCCTGCAGGAGGGTCCCTTGTCTGCCCCTCACTGTTTCTGAGACTGGGCTGCGAAGCTCATTCCACTTTCAGCCTCAGCTCCCTTAACAATAGCCATCCATTATTCTGTGCTCAGATGCCTGTGGAATTTAATTACTTGCCCCACCGCGAGGTGAATGTGATTGTTGGAAGCAGCAGTGTTCTGGAGGAAGCACTAATGAGGAGAGACTCTTCACAGAGAAGAGAGGGCATTTGGGGGACTTGTGTTTGAAAGCAGCCTTTCTCTGTGTGGCAATAAGGGCTTGGTCTTCAGTGAGTTTCCTCCTTCCCGCCTCAAAGATGTCCCTGGCATTTCATAAATAAATCAGGGCTTTTGTGTTCCAATAATTGCCTTGCCTTGTAACCAAGATCAAAAGCACCAATGGCCTTGGATTCCAAACCTAGTTTGTTTTTCAGTTCTGGGTTGCGGGAAAGAGTGAGGGTTTGCATGCTGGAGGGTGCAGCTAGGAGGCCTGATGGAGAGAGAGAGAGAGAGAGAGGGAGAGAGAGAGAGAGAGAGAGAATGTAAAGTGGGCCAACTGCCAAGGGATGTGGACCTTCAGCCAATCTGCATGGTCTTCCAGGGAGGGGAGCTGTGCACTCACACTGCTAGCAGGGCCTGCTGAGCTGCTTGATATCAGGCCGTCCCCGCTCCCTCACTAAGTCCATATTAGCGCCATCACGGCAGTAGGTAAACAGTAATTAGACATTACAAACATGTAGGGAGTGCTTACTGCGTGCAGGCTCTAGGCTTTGCATCCATTAGATATTTAATTCTTAAAGCCTGAGATGCTGTCATCACCCCACTTTACAGATGAGGACTCTGATGCTGATAAATGCGGAGCTGGGGTATGTCTGACTCTGGGGTCCAG